CATTGGGATGAGCTTATATCTTTAAAAATGTCCATAGTTCACAAGATACAAGGTCATTTCTTAATTATTGATATTTTTTAAGATGTAAGCTCATCCCTATGTTACACTCATCAAGAGCTTTCATTTGAGTACCAACATGTATTTTTGATATATTTTTCATATATAAATATATATAATATATATATAAATATATAAAATATATGAAAAATTGATGTGGGTACTCAAATGAAAGGTTTCGATGAGTGTAACATCGGGATGAGCTTATATCTTTAAAAATGTCCATAGTTCACAAGATACAAGGTCATTTCTTAATTTTGTATCTTTTTAAATACAGCCTAAATATTTATCATAATAATAATTGTTAGGTTTGGTAAAAAATAAAACATAATTAAGACAATATTTATACTTTATTCTCCTTTAAATTCGATTCAACATAAGTCGAAAATAGCTTCTTTAATTAAACTAATAATAATAACTTATCAATTGTATCAAATTCACATAAAATATATAATTAATATAATTTGCACATTTTTAGTAAACTTCCAGCATTTCTCATTCAAATTTCCATTCTTTTCGCTAGCTTACTTATCTTTTCATTCCTATCAAACATCCCACACAATTACATTAAATAATAATAATAATAATCATAATAATAATAATGAATGATATTTATACAAGTTGGGATGCCTGCCCTCTATAAAAAATACTTTATATTTCTACTACTCAGGCCTCTGTCTCTCAATAACTAATTACCGAAATTTAAAGAAAAAATTGTCGATAAAAAATTATAAAATAATAATAAACAATAATAATTGACAATAATAATTATGGTTATAATTAATTATCAAAAGACTAGGCTATTGCATTTTCGACTCCGAAACATACTTCTTTTCCACGCGAGATTTTTTTTTAGCAGACTTATTTTTTTTTTTTTTTTAATTTTGTTGTACAAATTTTTTTGTTCGTTTATTTATCACAATATTGAAATTTTTCTTTTTATTATTATTATTAGTACTTAAAAAAATTTTAGTAATTTTTTTTTTAACTAAAAATTTTTTGCTGCATTGACAATCAAATTCAAAACACTTTTTAATGCCAATATTGTAGCTACATTGACACACAAAATCAATGCAGTATTTTCAATTTTTTATTTATTTAATGACACTAAATTATTTTTTTTTTAGTAAAAAATGACATTTTGCTACTGCATTGACATTAAAAATCAATGCAGTAAGTTTTGTCAGTTCTTTTATTTATTTGATGACATCAAATTGTATTTTTTATTTCTTTATAATAAAAAAAATAAAATTTTGTTAATGCATTGACTCTCGATGTCAATGTAATCCACATTGACAGCCAAAATCAATGCAGTAAGTATTTTCAATCTTTTGATTAATTGGTGACATTAAATTATAATTCACTTTTTAATTAAAAAATCAAATTTTGTTACTGCATTGACTCTCGATATCAAAATAGTCTGCATTGACACAATCAAAATACTTTATAATGTCAATGTGCAATTCATAAAAATTGACACTAAATTTAAGATTCTTTTTTAGCTAAAAATTACACTTTCACTGCATTGACGTTCAAAATCAATGCAGTAAATACCGTCAATTTTTTATTTATTTGATGTTACTAAATCATAAATTTTGTTTTTTTAACTTAAAAAATGACATTTTGTTACTGCATTGACACTCAATTTCAAAACAATTATTAATTTCCTATATTATTAAATTTTAATATAATTATTAAAAAAATTTATATAAATGTCATTTTTTGTAATATATTGACATTCAAAATCAATGCAGTCATATATTTCATCAAAATAATAATAATATTCTCATTATTTATTTTTCTAACTTAAAAAAATTAAAAAATGAATTTTTTGACTGCATTGACTCTCGAAATCAATACACTTATATTATCATCAATATCTCCGTATCTACTGGACCGATTTATCTGAAATTTTGATATGTTTTTCTCCAAACCTCGACACAATTATAAAAAAAATAAAAATAATAATAATGATAATGAGTCTGCTAGTGAAATAAAATAAAAATCCGCCCCAAATCTCGAATATGTACACAAAATAAAAATAAAAATTTTGCACTTTTAGAACCCGAGTCTCTTGAGGTTACCCCTGTTAAGCCCGACGCGTTTTTCACCTTGCCAGCTCTTGCTTTTACTGCGGAACCTCCGGAGGTCTTCCTCGTGGTCGGGATGAGTCATGGGTCTGTAGCCCTGGGGAGTGCAGAACTCCATCTGAGCGCGGTAGAACTGCTGGTACCCGCCGTGAAGAAGGTAGATTTCCGGGTAGTGGAGAGCGGGGTAGTGCTCTTTGTTCAGTTTTCGGTCGATGTTCCGGAGGAACCTGGAGAGGTTTGGACCTCGCTCCCAGGAGAACTCGCAGTGGAACACCACGATGCTGCGACGGTCACTGTCTGGTTGGATTTCTGGGCGCTCTTGTAAGGGTTTCATCAGGTACTCTTCGATCAGGTCTTTTGTGTATAAGTTCAGAGCACCTTCGATGTGGCCTGCTTCGTACTCGTAAGGATACCTTTAATATAAAAAAATTTATTATCATCCTTATTATTATTATTATTATTATTATTATTATTATTATTATTATTATTATAGTTATAATCAATAGGTGACTTCTGTGACGTGTCAATTATAAAAAATTTGCTTTGTTAAATTGCACTGTACTTTCTTGAATATTGACATTTTTAAAGAAATAAGCTCATCCTGATATTACACTTATCAAGAGCTTTCATTTGAGTACCCACATGCATTTTTGATATATTTTTCATATATACATATATGTAATATATATAAATATATAAAATATATGAAAAATTGATGTGGGTACTCAAATGAAAGGTCTTGATGAGTGTAACATCATGATGAGCTTATATCTTAAAAAATGTCAATATTTAACAAGATACAAGGTAAAATAAATGAAAATTACCTGCAGTCAACAATCTTGTAGCTGGCGACCTTTTCATTAAATTCTCCCTTGATAAGTCTAGCAAGAGTCTCAGCAGTGATGGACTTTAAATCCTCATGATGACCTTCAGCCAAAGGCAAAATACAAGTCTTGGAAAAGTCTCCAGTAAGATCAGCGTCGGTGGTGCTTCTGTGAATAGCAGACTTGATATGCGCATGCGCTTCCGGCTCCGAAAAGGACCTTTGGAGGGCAGCTTTGCGATCGTTCTCCGAAATTCCCTGGAGGCTGGAGGTCTTCTTAGTCCGCTTGACCAGGACCGGACTGGAGTCCGAGGGCGGTTCCGGACGCTTGAAACTCCTGACTGGAGCTGGAACTCTGGAGTCTGGAGAATCAGCGAACAGAGCCCGAGGCTTGTCCTGGTACTTGAGCTTGGAGGTCGATGAGGTTGCAGTCGGCGACCTGAAGAGACAAGACCTGACCTTGGACAATGGCGGAGTATCGTGCTCGGGGCTAGTCGTCTGGAGGGACAACGACCGACGGACTCCTGGAGGGCGGGGACGAGATTCTGGAGTCGTTGCGTCGCACTCCATCGGTTTCTCAAAAATCGCTCCGGAGATCAACGTGCTCAAGTCGTTGGGCATCGATCCGTTAGAGTCCAGGAAGTTGTCCAGGTCAATCAGCTCGTTGAACCCGTCGTCCATTGACTCTAGCTCCGGGTCGGCTGATAAACGTCGCCGGAGACTCGAAACTGGCCGACGGTGCGGAGAAGAACGGACTGGAGACTGCTGCTGCGGACTTCTGTCCATTGAAATTCGACGAGGAGCCACTCCGTGGGGTTCTAAGAACCGGAAGGTCGATAGAGATTCTGATGAGGCTCCATAGCCGCTGTCTTGGCTGTTTGGGTCGTAGTCTTCCAGTGGAGAGCGGAGGCTGTGCAGCTTTGACTTCTGGAAGAGGAAAAATCCGTGGTGATATTGTGAAATAAGTAGTGGGGGGAAAAAGAATTTTTTTTTTGGGAATAGGAGGCGAAATATGGCTCTGCATTGATTGGGAGTGTCAATGTTAATTTGTAATAGTTAATTATTTTATTATGATGTAAAATATTCAAGAATAAAAATTTTTTAGTCATTAGGAGCCGAGATATGGCACTGCATTGATTATAAATGTCAATGTAATTTTGTAGTCATTAATTAATTTGTAAATTATTTTGTAATAATGTGAAATATTCAAAAATAAATTTTTTTAGTAATTAGGAGCTGAAATATGACACTGCATTGATTAGGAGTGTCAATGTAATTTTGTGGTTGCTATTTAATTTGTTAATTATTTTGTAAGCAGGAAGAATATTCAAAAATAAATTTTTATTATGATGTAAAATATTTAAAAATAATTTTTTTAGTCGTTAGGAGGCGGAATATGGCACTGCATTGATTAGGAGTGTCAATGTAAATTTGTAGGAGATATTTAATTTGTTAATTATTTTGTTATGATGCAGAATATTTTAGAATTTAATTATTTTTAGTAATTAGGAACCGAGATATGACAATGCATTGATTAGGAGTATCAATGTAAATTTGCAATATTTCTTTAATTTGTTAATTATATTGTAGTGATGTAAAATTTTCAAGAATTTAATTTTTTTTAGTCAGTAGGAGTAAAGATATGGAATTGCATTGATTATAAATGTCAATGTAATTTTGTAGTTACTATTTAATTTGTTAATTATTTTGTAATCATGGAGAATATTCAAAAATAAATTTTTTAAGGGATTAGAAGCTAAAATATGACAATGCATTGATAAGGAGTGTCAATGTAAATTTGCAGGAGTTATTTAATATGTTAATTATTTTGTAATGATGTAAAATATTTAGGAATTTAATTTTTTTAGTCATTAAGAGCAAAGATATGACACTGCATTGATTATGTGTGTCAATATAACTTTGTAGTGGTTATTTAATTTGTTAATTATTTTGTCATGATGTAGTAGAATATTTAAAAATCCTAATATAAAATAGAGATGAAATGTGTGTGGCATCAAACTATTCGTAACGTGATTGGTTGAATATATCATAAGCATGAAAATATATGCAAACTCTATAGTCAAGGCGCGCGCTTGCGCGCGAAAATTAAATTCTAGTCCCATAATAAAATTGAGATGAAATGTATGTGAAACCAATTTATTCGTGATGTGATTGGTCGAAAATAAATATTCTTATTCTGATTGGTTGAAAGTGAATATAATATACATAAACGACACATAAATATATCATGACAATAAATACGAGGCGCGCGCTCTCGCGCGTAAATTCAAATTCTAGTCCTAATATAAAATTGAGATGAAATGTATGTGGCATCAAACTATTCGTAACGTGATTGGTCGAATATATCATAAGCATGAAAATATATGCAAACTCTATATAGTCAAGGCGCGCGAAAATTTGGATTCTAGTTAATTTAAAAAAATCATTAAGAGCCGAGATATGGCACTGCATTAATTTTAAGTGTCAATGTAGTAAACACTGATTATTATTGTCAATGTCATAAAAATTAATTTTCAATTTCAATGTAATAAACATTACTTATAAATGTCAATGTAGTTAACATTGATTAAAAATGTCAATGCAGTAAATATTGAAAATTAATGTCAATGCAGTGAAAATTGATTATGAATATCAATGCAGTAAAATTTTTTTTTTCACTTTACTAAAAATCAAATAAATTATTATTATTATTATTATTGTTTCAAATTTGTTTAACTTTTTATTTTTATTTGAAAAAAAATTTTTTCTCACTTTTATTTAATTTTTATGAAATATTTTAGTCACAAATTTTTAAATAATTAAAAAACTTTTTAAAAATTTTCCGCTGTTTATTTTTTAAAAAAATTTTACCGCCAAAAAAATTAAAAATTTAATATAAAGTTTATTTACTAAATAAAATTAATTATAATAAAAAAATGAGTGTTACCTTAAGAGGACTCTTCAGACTACTAAGCGGACTACAGATGGCGCCACCATTCTCCTTGTTGTCGATAGACAAGCACGACAACTCCGGGCTTGAGACCCGTCTGGAGGTCATGGTTCCCGAGCGACGAGACTTCAATCGCGATTTCATTGCACCTTCCGGCGTCCCTTTTATTTTGAAGACATTTTTGAACAGCCTAAAATTCAAAAATAACTTCAGCCAGCCATTCTTTATTTTCACTTTTTATTACACTTTTAAATTAGCCGCCAAAAAAATTTGCGCCTCCATTTTTTAGCTAACCTTCAATTTTATTCACTTTTATAAATTTCACCGGGTTTTTTTAAATAATATTTATAATTACACAAAAATTTTAAATAAATTTACAATTTTTATAGAAGGTTTAATTAATATTTACAATTTTTTTCACACTTTTAATTCATAAATTTGTAAAATAAGCGTGGGAATAAAATCAAAGCCCGCGTTTTTTACATTCGGAGCATTTTTGTAATTTTTTTGAGTTTTAAAAGATTTTTTTTTTGGTTTTTTCACTTTTGTAATTAAGATTGTTAATTTAGACACTTAAAATTGAGTTTTCATTCATTTTTGGGAGTAAAAAGGGTAATTTTTGTAAAATTTGGAAAACTTTTAGGAGTATACTCGCCAAAATATGGCGCGTAACTGATCATGATGAGCTCATTATGATTTTATTGATCGAAAATTAGTTTTAGTTGGAAGTTTTGGCGCTAGATGGCAGCAGAGTTCATTTTTTTTCATTTGTAAATATTATTTTTGTTGATATTAATTTTTTTCAGTGAAAAAAAAAATTTTTAAGTAAATTGTGAAAATTTTTTGAAGAAATTTTAGAAAATTTATTTTTGGAAAAATTTAGAGACAATTTTTGAAAAAAAATTGATACATTTTTTTTTTTGACAATTGGAAAATATTTTTGGAATTTTCATGAATTTTTTGCTTAAAAAATATTATTCAAAATTTCTTTTTTATATTTTATTAAAACAATAATTAATTTTTGGAGTTTTCAAACTTTAGAAGTCTTTTTAATCCAAAATTAAACATTTTAAATGGAAAAAATCATTAAACAAATTTTTAAAAGGTTTCATTCCTTTTTTTAGTAAAATTCTAAAAGAAAATTAAAAGATTTCTCAATTTTTCAAAAGTTTAAACAAATTTTAAAAAGTTTCAAGTGTTTTTTATAAAATTCAAAAATTTTTTCATGAAAAAATGAGTTAAAAAAAATTAAACTATACAGTTATACATTTTCTTAAATATTTAAGAGATTTTACTCAAAATTCTATAATTGTATCTTAAAAAATATGAAATTTGTAGTTTTTTCATTAAAATCTTCTTTTTTTTTTTTTCACAATTTTAAACCTTTTGTGACCAAATTTAAAAAATCACACAATTTTCCGCGAAAAAAAATCATATTAAAATTAATTTTAACGGAACAACATTAAAAATTTCTTAATTTTCTCGATTTTTTTAATACTTAACTCAAAAAATTCAATTTTTTATCACCTAAAAATTGAATTTTCTCTTTAGCACAATAAAAACTATCTGAAAGATTTAAAATTCCACAATTTTTCCAAGATTAAAGTCCTAAAAAAAATTCAGAATGAATTTCGATATAAAAACCTTAAAAAATCTTTTATTTTCTTTATTTCTTCACACTGAACTCTAAAAATTCAATTTTTTAACATAAAAAAAAATGAATTTTTCCTTTAACATAATAAAAAACAATCTAAAAGTTCAAAATTCTATAATTTTTCCAAAATAGTCTTGAAAAAAAAGTTCGGAATGAATTTCGATATAAAAAACCTTTAAAATTTTTTTATTTTCTCCTTTTTTTTATATTTTAAACTCAAAAAATTGAATTTTTCCTTCAACATAATAAAAAACAATCCAAAAGATTAAAAATTCCAAAATTTAAACCTTAAGAAAAAAGTTCGGAATGAATTTCGATATAAAAACCTTAAAAAATATATATCAAATTCATACCTTGTGCACTGATAAACTTCACAAGAATCCGTAACAGTTTCCCACAACATTTTTCCGAACGCACGTGCTCACTTTTACAATCAAATATCCAAAAACTAAGCGGTTAAAATCCAAAATTTGACTTTTTATACCATTTAAATTAATATTAACATCAATATTAATGATTAATATTAATAATAATCAATTATTAAGACACATTTGACGACAAATTATAATAAGGCTTATAATAGATACGTGACCTACACCAACAACGCTAAAGACCGAAAAAAGAACAGCTACAGAGAGCTCTTTACTCTTCAACAGGTTGATTGAACATTCATTACATGTGACTACTTCAAGTGCATTTGGGTTCGTTTGCACTCGGACAACTGACTCTAATGTCTGCCAGGAATTTCCTGACAGTTGTATGGGCCTTATTGGCGCAATTCAGACTCTGTACATCGTCGACGGCGAGGAGAACTACGCGGAGAATATCAGGAGGCAAATGGAGGCTGTGAGTCCTCAACCGAGCAACCTAAGCAGCTCCACGGCTCACTCCAGTAACAGTGACTCGGGAATTGGGTTCCGTGATGACTACGGCCAGGAAGTCTTTAGGCAACCTTTCCCAGTTAGGAACAGAGATGAGGACCCCTGGGTCAGAAGAAGGGATCAGCAAATTGATGACAAGGCCCACCTGGTTGCTGATGATGGCTGTTGTAGCAGAGAGGGGGGTGGTAATATTGGAGGGGATGATAGTAACAGCTGCCAAGTAACATCTGCTGGGCCAGTTGCCGCTTGGTCGCTGCCTAGGAACGTTTCGAAAGAGATGGAGGTCAAAGAAGATTGTGTTAAGAGTTCAAGGAGCGAAATGTGCTGCAAATTGAGTCCCAAGGTGTTCAATGTCGCTAAGTCTATGGTTCATAGCTTGGAGAATCTTAAAGGTGATGATCAACAGTTCACGAAGCTGCTGAATTCTTTTGCCGGGAAGAGTTATGAGGCCAGACAGTGGACCAGCTTGCAGGAGATTAGGAATTTTGATGAGTTTCAGGAGGAATTGGTGAGTTTTTGAGATTTTAGCTTGTTTCTTGGAAACTCTTGAGATTTTTAGAGATATAAGCTCATCTTGGTGTTAGAATCGTCGAGAGCTCTCATTTGAGTACCCACATTAATCTTTCATATATTTTGTATATTTATATATATTATATATATATATATATATATATATATATATATATATATATATATAAAATATATA